TGCAACCCCTCCCCAGCTCTACTCTTTGGCAGTACCACGCAGGCTGCCCTTTAAATCAGAACATCTTTGCTGTCCTCCCCTTCGCCAGGTACATGCCTGCTGGGTGGAGGAGACTGGGGCTTCTTTTCTAAAAGCTTCAGCCCGGGACATGACTCCTGTTAACTTAGCTCCAGTGTTGAGTGAAGCTGGGGAAGGGAGGGAGGGAGGCAGCGGTGGCTCTGTGGATCAGAGTGGGTGGAGAGGGAAGGGGGAGTGCCGCAAAGGAGCTGGAGCAGCGCAGATCACACTCAGAGCTTCCAGTGCAGTCCCTCTTGCAGGTACTTCATTCTCTAGTCCCTCTGCTTGCATTTCACCACCACCGCCAGCTGTTGCTGCTGCTGCTGCTGCTGCTGCTGCAAAGCCCCCTTCGCTGTCACAGCAACCAGGAGCTGGGTCCGGGAGCCCAGACACTGCCACTGGAGGAACCGACGTTCTCTTCCCCCCCGGAGAGAACCCAAGCAGAGACACCCTGGAGGAGGAACCTCCTGGAAGCAGGGTCACTGAGCACCAAATAACTCAGACAGATCACCACCGTGGGACCCGGAGGAGCACCAGGACTGGCCCCAGCAGGCACCCCTAAGATCCTGTCTTTCCCTGGTACTGAGGCTGGCTCCATGGAGGAGGAGGCGGCTGTGCTTTCTCCCCGGGCTAATGCCACCGAGTGCAACATCGGGAGTAACTGGACGGGCTCTCCAGTGTGTTGGCTGCAAGTGTCTGGGGGTGGCCCCGAGATAGTGATTGTGCCTGTGCTCTTTGGGCTGATTTTCCTGCTGGGCACGGTGGGGAACACACTGGTGTTAGTGGTGCTGGGGCGAATCCGATCTGGGGGGCGCCCTTCCCGCAGCGCAACTAACATATTCATCCTCAACCTGAGCGTTGCAGACTTCTCCTTCCTGCTCTTCTGCGTCCCCTTCCAAGCCACCATCTACTCCCTGCCTGAATGGGTCTTCGGTGCCTTCTTCTGCAAGTGGGTTCACTACCTGGCCATGGCCACCATGCTGGTCAGCATCTTCACCCTGGTGGCCATGTCTGTGGACAGATACATTGCTGTGGTGCATGCCAAGCGGTCACCCTGTATCCGTAGTAAGCGCAACGCCTCCCTGGGTGTGGGCATCATCTGGCTGCTGTCGCTGCTCATTGCCATCCCTGTGGCCCAGCACCAGGCCCTCATGAGCGGCCACCAGCAGGCACCCAACAGCTCCTTCTGCTGGGAACAGTGGGCTGATGATTCAGCTGCCAAGCAAAGCTACAAGGTGACCATCCTGATGGTGGGGTACCTGCTCCCCCTGGTGCTCATTACCTGCTGCTATGCCAAGGTGGGTGAAGGGAGAGAAGGGAGTCATTGGTGGTGGTCTTATAAGGAGTTACAAGATTGCCAGTTTCCCTTACCTCCTAACCAAGACTCGTGGTCAATTGGCCCACCCTATATTGCCTTTCCTGGGATGGAGGGAAGTACCCACCATCCTTGTTCCTTTCCTAAAGCTGAGGATACCAATTCCAGGCTAAGAGGGGGTGAAAAAAGGGGAGTGGGAAAAATTGGCTTAACACGACGGATCTCCAAATATTTATTTGCTTATTCCCTTCCTAGGATTGGCAGGAGAGGGGGCTGGAACAGTCCCCCCAAACACCTTTTTCAAGATTGATGGGGACTCATCCCTTACCAGTCACCCCAACTCCCATGCTGATTCTTGTAACTTTACAATCATTTTCCTACTTTTGTAAAAATGTTCTCCCCTTGTTGCTGGGTGTGACACAAAAAAGAAAACACAATTAACAGACTTTTTCTGAGACCATTAAGTGACAGTATTAGGTAACACTTCTAATAAAAGTGACTGAAGCTGATGTCCCTTTAAGATTAGCAGTATATTCTACCAGTATAACAAATCTCCTCTGAAAACCTATGCTTGAAATGTCAGTAATTGGACTTACATTAGGAAGAGGAACATCGCTCTTCTGCTGTGTTTATATTGAAATCTCTAATCTCTGTCCTTGTGTGTATGATTAAATATCACATATACAAACATCTTTCAACAAAGTGTGTCGCTTCTCCTGTGGTAGCTTAGATTGATGCTGATTCCTTTCCAGTCCATTGCTCATGGTGTGTGTGTGCCGGCAAATGGCATGTGAACGTCATTTAGTAGATGGACTTTCTTACAAATAATTGATTTAGGTACGTTAATCTCCTCGCTCCAACAGTCAGAGTAAAGTAATTGCCTGGTTACAGCTTTGCTGTAATTGTGTTTTAAAAGGTTAATTTAAATTTTGTTAGAGCACTGAATGGAAATTATCTTCTTAATCGTGTGTGTGTGTGTGTGTGTGTGTGTGTGTGTGTGTGTGTGTGTGTGTGTGTGTGTTTTATGGTCCTGCATCTGCCTACAACTCTTTCAAATCAAACCCTTCGAGGTTGTTTACACTTAATGCTACACCAGCACAGTTGCACTGCTACAGTTGTGCCACTGTAGCACTTCAGTGTAGACACTACCTGTGCCAATGAGAGGCATTCTGTCATCAGTACAAGTAATTCACCTCTCCAAGAGGCAACAGTGAAGTTGATGGATACACTCTTCCATCGACCAAGCACTGTCTGCATAGGGATGTAAATCATCTTACCAACACAGCTTAGGGGTGGATTTTTCACACTCCTGACCGATGTAGTGAAAACAACCTAATTTTCTAGTGTAGACCAGGCATAGATAAGTAACTTTAAATTCAAATTACCAGTTCAGCATGCCCGGTTCATAGTTTCCAGTAAGTGTCCTATACTGACTGGATGCAGAACTGACAGTGGCCAGTGACCATGTTATATCTTGATGGGACTTATTCATGGAGTTGAGTTAACCCAGTGTTTTTCAACCTTTTTTTATAAAGTACCCCCTTTTTAAAAAATATTATAAGTATCCCCCAGTACCTACAGTTTTCAGACACACACAAAAATTTTCTACCTTTGCAACAAATTTGTTTAAACAACTTAATCGTAGCTGGATGGGTGATGAAATTTTTGGATGTAAAAAGTACAAAAATAATAAAGCGCAGTAAAACTTAAAACAAAAATTCAATTTTCTCCAAATTTCGATGGTGTTGGCGTACCCCCCAGACTTCTCCTGAGTACCCCTGCGGTATCACTGGTTGAGAAACATGGAGTTAACCTGATCCAAAGTCCATTGAAAGCTGAAGGAAACATTCACATGGACTTCCCCAAACTTTTGGGTCAGTCTAATTATGTATAATGAGCAACTCCTTGTCCAATCTTAGTTTTTTCATAATTTTCCTCAGGAAACAAGCTTTTAGAAAAAATGTTAAGGATTAATATCTGGAGTTGAAAATTTCAACCCAGCATGTAATAGCATTTGTGTACAGTGTCTACTGCTAAATATAGATATATATTTTAGGTTTTATATCATCTTCATAAGAAAGTGAAGAACATTTCCAAGAAGTCAGAGAGATCAAAGAAAAAGGTAAATACAAACTTCCTTAAATCTATGGAAGCAATGAATAGTAAACTTTACTTCTGTCATATCTGGAACATAGCGTGTATCTGACAGATCTCTAAACTGATTAATGTCTCTCTATGCTGCACCATTGATAGACCCAGGGTAGTCCAAGAGCACTGGTGAGAAAAGAGTGGAAGGGGCAGCTGCTGAGAAGATCAGAGATCCACCCGCCAGAGCAACATTGTCAGCATTGCTATAGGTGAATGGGTGCCATCTCAGCCACCACACTGTTGGGCTATCCAAAGTGCAAGACTGTGGCTTCACCTGCCTCCCCACCTCCTGGGATCCCCTGAAAACACAGTGGCATGAGTCAAGCTCTCTTTATGTGCTGGGCCCCTCCTCCCTCTGGAGAGGACTGCAACCAGCAGCAGAGTTTCATACCTCAGAGGACTCCCTTGCCTTCCTTTTGAACACACTGGTGTTGCAGCAGCAGGAGAAAGGTTTCTTTCTCCTGTCAGGAAGCTGAGGGTGGAGTGACTGGGCTGTCCCTTCTGTTTGGAGGAGCACACACTGATAATGATTATGAATGAGAAGGAGCTGGGGATTCCAGTGGATGAGCAGCTAGATATGAGTCAACAGTGTGCCCTTGTAGCACAGAAAACTAATAGCATATTGGGGTGCATTAGTAGAAGTAGCACCAGCAGGTATAGGGAACTGATTATTCCCCTCTATTTGGCACTGGTGAGGCCTCATCCAAAGTATTGTGTCCAATTGTACCCCCTCCTCCCCCCATTACAGAAAAGATGTGGATACCTCGGAGAAAGTCCAGTGAAGGGTAACAAAAATGATTAGGGGGCTGGAGCACATGACTTATGAGGAGAGGCTGAGGGATTATTTAGTCTACAGAAGAGAAGAGAAGAGTGAGGGGGGATTTGATATCAGCCTTCAGCTACCTGAAGGCAGGTTCCAAAGAGGACAGAGAGAGACTGTTCTCAGTGGGACTGATGACAGAACAAGGAGCAATGGTCTCAAGTTGCAGTGGGGGAGATCTAGGTTGGCTATTAGGAAAAACTATTTCACTAGAAGGGTAGTGAAGTACTGCAATGGGTTACCTAGGGAGGTGAAAGGATATTCATCCCTAGAGGTTTTTAAGTCCTTGTTTGACAAAGCTCTGGGTGGGATTATTTAGTTGGGATTGGTCCTGCTTTTAGCAGGGAGTTGAACTCAACTTCCTAAGGTCTCTTCCAACCCTATGATTCTATGATTCTAGGGCAGACCTTTGGAAACTGTTTGGGAGGCTTTTAAATTAGAGTAAGAGGACACATCTCACAGTCAAAACCAGGTTGACTAGGATCAGGTCTACAGTAGGGGTACGTCTAAACTACATGCCTCCGTCGACGGAGGCATGTAGATTAGCCAGATCGGCAGAGGGAAATGAAGCCGCGATTAAAATAATCGCGGCTTCATTTCCCTCTGCCGATCTGGCTAATCTACATGCCTCCGTCGACGGAGGCATGTAGATTAGCCAGATCGGCAGAGGGAAATGAAGCCGCGATTAAAATAATCGCGGCTTCATTTCCCTCTGCCGATCTGGCTAATCTACATGCCTCCGTCGACGGAGGCATGTAGATTAGCCAGATCGGCAGAGGGAAATGAAGCCGCGATTAAAATAATCGCGGCTTCATTTCCCTCTGCCGATCTGGCTAATCTACATGCCTCCGTCGACGGAGGCATGTAGATTAGCCAGATCGGCAGAGGGAAATGAAGCCGCGATTAAAATAATCGCGGCTTCATTTCCCTCTGCCGATCTGGCTAATCTACATGCCTCCGGCGACGGAGGCATGTAGTCGAGACACACCCTTTGGGATAAGTTTGAATTAAGACACACAACTCCAGCTACATTAATTCTGGAGTCAACGTACCTACATTCAAACTTTGGTGCCATCCCTACAGTGGGAGGTCGATGGGAAAAACACTCTTGTCAACTTCCCTTACTCCTTGTGAGGAATAGGAGTACTAGCGCCAACCAGGGCACCCTCAGCATTTGATTTAGAGGGTCCTTTCTAGACCCGCTAAATTGAACACCAGAAGATTGACTTCCAGCATGTCGATCTGCGGGTATATATAGCTGTGAGGAACAAACTTATAGCTTGCAGAAGCAATATTATTTGACTAATAATGCAGGTTTACACCAAGAGATGAAAAATACAGAAAATAATTTAAAAGCACTGATAACAGGGAAGAAAAACAGCTCTTATATTTGCCAACCCAAGGCTATATAAATGAAGGAACAAATCTAGCTGATTATTAGTCAGATTGATTTCCAACAGATTAGAACAGCCTTAAGGACAAAAAAAATGGAATTCTCTAACACCAAAAAACAACAGCTATTAACAATCCTCAGACTGAAATATAATGAAAGAGTATCCTACATGGCACAACAACACTGGAAGAAATAAAGATGGCAATCTCATTACCAAAATCAAGAGGAAAATCCTGGACCAGATAGATTCATGTTAAATTTTATAAAATGTTTAAAACAGGGGTATTGCCATTGATAATAAATATAGTCTAGTAGGCAGAATGCCAAATACCTTCTATCAAGCAGAAACAGTTTTGGTACCTATTGTACTATTTTAACTAATACTAGCATTCAAATTAGAGACAATAATGCCTATTCACCAATGCAAAACTGCCTTTAAAGATGCCAGCATTCTAAGTATGGATGCAGAAAATACTTTAAGCTTGGTAGAACACCCTTTTTATTTAGAAACTAGAAGATTTACTGGCATTGTGCAGGTCCTTAACTCAATTAATTTTTGTTTTTCTTCATTTAAATCATTGCTCTGGGGTGGAGTTGGGAATGAGGGGTTCAGTATGCAGACTGCCTTGGGAGAGAGGACAACCCCAGCCCTCTCTCACCACAGCCGTTTTGGGCCACGTGAGAAGCACCTCTTCACCGCTGCAGCTGCCCCAGGTAAATTTGGGGAGGGTTGCATGTTCCCTGGCTGGGGGCAGACAGAGAGACACACAGACAAACTCAAATATATAGTAGATAGCTGTCCCTTTGTCTAGCCCTGTCCCCTCTGGCCCATTGGGGTTATAACTATCCTAGTCGCATCTCTGGCCCCTTTCAGCCCACTGTGTTTATTATAGAGTATAAGAGTGTGTCTAGACTACAGGGGGGTTTCGAAAAAGTGGCCTTTTCTTGAAAAAACTTTCCCTAAGTCTAGACTGCCACTGAGTTCTTTCAAAATTAAATCGAAAGAACACAGAGGTTTTTTCAACCGCGGTAAACCTCATTTTATGAGGAAGAACACCTTTTTTCGAAAGTGCTCTTTTGAAAAAAGGCATTCTTGAATGCAAAGAGGACTTTTTCGAAAGAGCATCCAGACTGCCTGGGTGCTCTCTTCCAAAAAAGTGGCTCGCTTTTTCCAAAGAAGTGGTTGCAGTCTAGACGCTCTCTTTCGAAAGAGACTTGTATTCTAGATGTAGCCTAACTGTCCCTGCCTTCCATCTCATATCCCCGGTTGCCCCCATGTGGTCATTATATAGCAGAGCCCTCCTTTTCCATTTCATTTGAAACAGTCCCATTTCAGGTGCATCTCATTTTCCAGGCACAACCAATCCCTTACATTGCTTTAAGTTATGATAAGAGGAAGCTGCATACAGACAGATGCACACAGTCACAGGCAAATTCTCAAATATAGAGTAGATATGGTTTGGAGGAACATTTTCAGAAATTGATTAAAATCTACAATAACCCTATTGCATTTATTTGGGCAAATTTCAAAATGGCCATGTTGATCTTTGTTTGTCTGTCTATGTGTCTATCTGTCTGTTCAAGAACTGCTCCTAAATTATAAGAGCTAGGACCACCACATTTCATATGCAGCTTCCTCTTACAACTTAAAGCAAAGGCCCAACACTTCAAGGCAAAGGAAGGGCTGGCAGATACCTGAGGAGATGGGGTGGCTAGCAGACTAAGGGTCAGGGAGCTGACCCCCAATTTAGCACCAGCAAGTGTCTCTCACAGAGATGGGGGCAGAATGTTCAACACTGGCTCACAGTCCTGGGCACCCCAGGAAAGTGACAAAGTGATCATCCATTTTTATTTCATTAGTACTTAACATTAAATCAGACGTATGCTTCTATGGAAGCTGAGGCTTCTGTGATATGACACCTTTTACTTTCTCATTTTGGTACTCTTCACTCAGCAGGTGCTCGCACATCTCCCTTTTCACAAGCAGATTAGACTGTCATTTTCTTTCCCAGTTTGATTCAACCATTTCTCTTATCCCCTCATAAGCATCTCTACTAGGCAATTCTTTCAGGTTCTCTCAACGCCTGTCTGTTCTTTCAAAGTGTACTTAAAGCATGTCGAGTGTCACGCTCAGCCGCTGGCACAGTAGGTATTGCAAAGAACACTTCACAGGCCTTCATACAAATTGAATTACTTCTTGTCGTTTTTATTAAACTACCTTCCCTATTATATAACTAATTGATCTGATAGCGTGACAAGTGGATTTATTACAGATCTGGTCTTTAAAAAAACCCAGAGGCAACTCTAACAAATGAACGGCTTTCACTTTACCATTTCGTTCCAGGCTATCTGCACAAAGCAGCTTGCTGCATGTTAGAAAATCTATAAGTATCTTTTAGAAGCTGCAGAACCTATAGGTTTATAAAATATACTTATAATTTCACTGTGATCAAAGCCTAAATTGCTTTGATTTATCAAATGTAAAATTAGCATAAAAACATGGTCTCTTTGAATGAGGTGACAGTTTTATGTACATTTTACCAGACTTGATTTGCATCTTCTCTTAGCACACTGAAAGAGAAAACAAAGTCAGTAATCTTAATGCCATGGTTAGCAGTTCAACCATCAGTCTTGACTCCTTTCTGACTTGCTGACTCACTACCATAATTTTAGCCAATATTAGCTAGAGTCGTTTTGCTCAATTTTTTTCCTCCCTTGTGCAGAACCAGCAAAATAAACAATTTAAAAAAGCCAACCTTCCCTTTTGATTTTGAGGTTCAACAAGGACAAGTGCAGAGTCCTGCACTTGGGACGGAAGAATCCCAAACATTGTTACAGGCTGGGGACTGACTGGCTAAGTAGCAGTTCAGCAGAAAAGGATCTGGGGATTACTATGGATGAGAAGCTAGATATGAGTCAACAGCATGTAGCCAAGAAGGCTAATGGCATATTAGGCTGCATTAGGAGGAGCATTGCCAGCAGATCCAGAGAAGTGATTATTCCCCTTTATTTGGCACTAGTGAGGCCACATGTGAATTACTGTGTCCAATTCTGGCCCCCCCACTATAGAAAGGATGGGGATGCATTTGAGAGGGTCCAGCAGAGGGCAACCAAATTATTAGGTGGCTGGAGCACATGACCTGTGAGGAGAGGCTGAGGGATTTGGGTTTGTTTAGTCTGCAGAAGAGAAGAGTGAGGGGGGATTTGATAGCAGCCTTCAACTTCCTGAAGGAAGGTTCCAAAGAGGATGGAGAGAGGCTATTCTCAGTAGTGATGGATGGCAGAACAAGGAGCAATGGTCTCAAGTTACAGTGGGGGAGGCCTAGATTGGCTATTAGGAAAAACTATTTCATTAGGAGGGTGGTGAAGTACTGGAGTGTGTCACCTAGGGACCTGGTAGAATCTT